TAGTAAACACCTGCTTAACATCAATGTTTGCTTGTCTCGCTTGAAGATGTCCAATAATTGAAATTTTCATCCATTACATGTATTTAAAATATTATTTTCACTCAGAAGGTCTATAACTTTGGTTGGCATGAGAAAGAGAAAGTGTTCTCTATTAAACACAGTGTCTTTCCAAATTTCTAAAAATGGCTCCTGAAGAGTAAGTTTGAAAAAAGGAGCAAAATGGAACACATATTTGTTAAATGCAAATAGAAGATGCAGGCAGACGGTTCTTCTACGAAGCCAATTAAGATTAATTTCTAAGTGACAACAAATGATCTGACATGTGTCTATCTAATAGATATACATTTTTCATCACCGTTGACAAGTCATATGTGTGAATAACAAACTTGTTGACAACCAAAGGCCTAGATACAAATCGAAAGAAATGGCGTCAATCGATCGTGAAGTTTTTAGCACTCCAAATTTACCGTTAGCCTCCAAAATTGTTTGATTCGCGCTACGTGACGAAATCTGATACTTTTCCTTATCGGCGACCACAACATTTTGGAGCTATATGTACGAACGAAACTTTGCTTTGAGAATGTTTTATGAATAATAATGATCAGAGTTACGGCGTAAAGGAGACAACACAGAACGTTTACCGTGCGACTCGTAAGGTAGGATAACTATAAAACTTTCAGAAGTCCTTAACAGTCGAGTAATACTTACACTGTACGTTTAACTCGATAATACTCGGTGATGTGAAGAAACTGCTTCGAAATGAGCACTGGTAGCGAGTGTGATCTTCTTCGGTCACGTTCATAATATTCAAAGTCTTGTCCGTAATGAAAATGCGTTGTGGATCATCGTAAATGACTTTGCTTCCAGTCATTGTTGAGTTGATGGCCAATCCGGCCCATTCATCACTGTTATAAGGTTGTTCTCTGGACCAGGTAAGCAAATGAAATATATCGGCTTGTTGTTGTTCTTGAGGAGTCAGCACATAATCGCATGGGAGTGCAACATTTAAACCAGCGACCACGTCGATTACATGGTTTGCTTGTTGCTGATAAGACCATTGAAATCCCTCTAAAACCATATAAGCCATTAGTCAGACATAATTCAAACCCGACGGCTTAAGAAAGTACCGACTACATACGGCAAACAGCTCAATATTAGCGACATGGTTTGAAAGTTTTACCCGCCGCTCGCTTAAAAGATACAATCAAACCAAACTCTGACAAAACAAATTTCAACATCACTTACCTAGTAAAACTACACTGTTTAGAAAAAGTAGTAACACCCAGGCGGTATTGGAATCTTCCATTCTTCACGCGATCTTCTTTAAGAGGAAGTAAGGCATGATCGAAAGCTCTTTGTATATTTATTTGTGTTAGCGACAAACTCTGCGGTCCCTCCTTAACTGACGTCAAACGCTTTCCCGAGCTATTGTTTAGAACTTTTCAATCATGCATAGATGATTATGTAAGCAACAGGAAATGAAAACATGCCGAGAATGACTGATACTGTTATTTGCTGTACACAGTGTACATGTTTGTCACTCTCTTGTATGTCTATTTCTGGCTCCAAATTTTTAGCCCCAGCCCTGGGGGACAATCTAAACATCTTGGAAGCCAACTTAACTGATGGTTTTTTTTTTTTCATTTTTATCCTTAAGTATTTATTTTGTAGTAATCGTTTAAAATGGTTAGCGGGTGGGTTTCGAAAGGAGTGAAAATTGTTTCTCAAGAATACTTGCAAAATCTAAACAGAAAAAGTCAGGTCGCACAGGTTTTTTTTTTAAAATGTGTAAAATATACGAGGCCGATATTGATCCATATTTGTCAAGGATCAAGGCATATAACGTTTTTGTTGGAAAATATAAGGTGTAAGGGTTGTCTGTCCAAACAAAATAATAACTGCTGTGGACTGTGTAACATTTGGGGGTAATTTTAATTGGAAACTAATCGACGACGCTGTGCTGTAGAGATGTCTTACTTTAGCTCGAGGCTGTGTTAATATCAAACAGTGTGCCTAGCTTGAAAATTATATGCAAGTTTTAAATTTTGCGAATTTAGCTTGATCCGCAAATATTGGTTTCAAAATACACCGTGAATTAAGACGTCACAAAAAAATTTTTGTTAGTGCAATGAAAAAACTCGAGGGTATTAACAAGGATAAGTGGCAAGCTATCGGTTAGATTTCTTTGTTGCGTCAAATCTTCTACGAAGTGATCGATTACCTTCTAAGATTGTACAGAATTCAGTTAACTTTCCAAAATTCTTTTCGCAAATCTCAAAATCGCCAATTTGCAACATGAAACTAGGACAACATTTTCATGCCTCGGGTAATTATTGTGGGCAAAGCAGTTTTTTTTTTTAGCCTTTCCACATGTTTACCTTTTATGTTTTTCCTTTTGGAACAATAGCAGTAATGTGTGCTTTGTCTGTAAGAGATTTTAGTGAGACATCTGTGTGATTTCATTTCTCTTGTATTTGTCTCAGTGCGATTGTAAATCTGTGAGTTGGCGATGTCAGAGCGGCCATGCCGAGTGAACGACTGAATGCAACGAAAACCAAAGAATTCCTTCATTCATTTGCAATAATTAGAACTAAGTTTTAAGCGGTAGGTTAGATAAGAATATGCAAGGTTTTTGGACCTTATTATTTTAAAAATAAAGTAGACCTTCATCAAAGATCTGACGTATGTAAACAATGCTTTTCAAATTTGTGCGTCGAAAGAAAGGAATTGAGATGACTCGGAAGATGATGACTAGCTTTATGAAAAGTGTTTTTGTAATTAATGTTCACAACTTGATTCTGTGGTTAGCATTTTATCCTATTTTCGCCAGTTAAGGAAATATCAGGTGGCAAAATATTGATTCCACATAATTATCCTATTTTCGACGGTGAAGGAAATATCATGCGGGAAAATATTGACTTCCCATAATGCTAATAAGTTTTATATATTCCGCAGCCTTGTGTTGCAAGTCATCATGAAGTGTCTCCATCTGGAAATAACACTGAAGGTGTGGTAAATTTTTTCTTAATATTTCCGGGTAGAACTTTGAATACCCCGCGCGCGTTAAATAGCTCGCGTTCGTCACGCATATGCTTTTCTTGAAAGCGAGCGTCACGGATTAAATCCGTGGCGCTCGAGAGAAAAACAAAAGAAAGGGTACCGAAGTTGTCTTTTAGCAGAAGGCACGTACGTACACTGAATCGAGGTGGCCCCGCCTCAGTTGGATCGAAAATTAATTGGTTTATGAAAAGATGGTTAATCCGGACGTGTGTAATTCTTGAGTTCTCATTTTCTTAAGGTGAACTTGAACGGCCGCCTCAAGTTTTAATAAGAACTTCTTGGTCATTGTTGATCATGGATAACTCCCTGACAGTTTGGACGTTTTTTTCGCTATTTTGTGTGTCAGGTAAGGTGCAATGTAATACCTCTTAAAACCTATTTTAATAGCCAAGTATCTTTTTTTTCCTTTTACTCACTTTTTAATCCCTCTCATTTTTCGAAGAATCTCTGTCTTGGACCATCAAACAGCCCCGCAGTGTATACAGAGGATCACCCATCACACTAGAATGGACAATATCACTAACAACAGAAGAAAGGAAGAGAGCGGATCGCTTTTCTTTGATTCTCTTGGAACGTGAGAAGTTTCTTTACAGCAATCAGTGGCAGATCATGGCTGTTAAACAGTATTACAATGGTATTTATCAGGAAATCGACAATGAGGACACTTTTGATGTGATTCCTGGAAAGGACATGGCACTCAAATTGAACAATGTCACGGACACAGATGCTTCCCGGTTTCGTTGCACATTTCTTAGCTCATTTGCATCTCCGAAGAGTATCATAGAGGTGGAAATAGAAGGCGAGTCTTTGTCGTCTGTGGAAGTCTCTACTTTTAGATGTAATAGGTAATCTTTCAGGTGTACCCCTGACCTACTGCCT